TTCAAACTGTGTGACCTTGACCTTTGAGGTAGGGACATGGGTCTTAGACGCGATACATTATCATGATATGGTAGACATTTGTACAAAGAAAATTTAAACTACTTCAAAGCAGGACACGAATGTTGTGAAGGTGGCGACACATAGATAGACGTACTGACAGACCGAAAGACAGCTGATAGATCCTACATCTGGACGATCGATAATAGTAACGATCTTGTGCTGTTAATATATAGTATGCAACAAACTTGGATAAAAATTACTTGAAATCCGGAGAATTACACATTATCTTAAAACATCATCTTACGTTTTTTTCTAGTTATTTTCTAGTTATTTATTAAGAAAATATCACAATACTACACAATGCCATTTGTTACAGAATGCGATCTTGGAAACTATGGACTGAATTGCTCCTCAGTTTGTAGTTCTCATTGTTTTAACGACGTAACTCAATGTAATAAAACTACTGGAAACTGCATGCAAGGATGTGAAGCCGGATATATGGGTCACAACTGTTCTAAGGGTATGTACGCAATACATTATTGGCAATTACCATCGTATTAGGTGTGATCTCAAATCGGAAGTGGTGTACAAATATCCCTATGTAAATTTATTGTTAGTTCATGATAACGATATTTTTTCGTAATAATTATGATTTGCATTTACGTACGTATTATGGAAAAACTTTGCTGATGGTGATCCATTTGTAGTTCACCATTATGTGTTTGGCTTGAACAACAGCCACCGACAAAATAAATTTTTTTAACCTTCCGAAACTGTCTCTTTTTTCTTAAAAGGCGGCGGCATTTATGGAAAATCGTGTTCAGTTATGCCCTTTAATATCAAAAGAAAATCTGAAATTTTTACATCATTTTCGTTTATAACAAAAACTTGAACACATGCTAAATGAAACAAAACAAAAGAAATGTTGATGTATAAACGAGAAATATTTAAACATGAGTATAACTGCTATAAAGTCTTTCAAAAGTCAACAAAATTAGGTAGGGATATTCCTACGTCATCGGTGAAAATGACGGCGGAAATTACCGATTGAGTTACGGAAAATAGACGACTTTCTAAATCATGTTTTCATTTCATAGGACATCTATACACACTTCTTTAAAATTATGTTTATTGTAATCTACGTATCGAAATCTATTACAAACAGAAAGAAACAAACATACGTATTATTGGCCATTGATCTTTAACAACCAAATAAAATGTACCAAACTAAAAAGGAGGGGGGGGGGGGAGTTCAGTAATTGGAAATCAGTTATTATCTGAACTCTTACTCTTTTTTTAAAATCACGAAGTTTACTGTTTTCGAAACCAAGCCAACATGCCTGAAAACTTAATATTATTCTAATCAGTATACACATTTATTTTCCTGACCGATTCATCATGTGCCAACTTAAGCAAAACACGTTCTTGGAATATGATAAACTGGCTTACGCGTTGTTCAAACATACGTGCGCATTAATGTGTACCTTTTCTGTACAATCCCGGACTTTCGGCCTAAGTCTTTTATTGAAATTAACACGACTTGTATTTATGCAAAGCATCGAAACTGCCGCATATGCTTTTGGAAAAAGTTAATAATGAAGAAATGAAATTTCGTAAACATATCGTTTTATGATACTATTTAGCTCTACAACCTTTGTTTACATCGTGAACCGGTGTTTTCTAGGTGTTCGATAAAATCAAACACAAAGAAACGTCTTTTTGTAATGAGTAAAATAGAAATAATCCGAAAATAAAGGAGGACAAATTCGATGTAAGATATATATATACAACTTAACTTGTACCCATTTTGTTCAAGCTACTGTGGTGCAATCAGGATTGGGGCTTCTTGGCGCTGAGTACGAGTTAGCGGACATATTAGCGAAAAAAAAACAACCATTTTTATTTAAATTTACATTTGCATATATTGAAAACATATTAATTTTTAAAAATAACCTACATTTGGTGATATTTTATTGAAGTGTATTACCTTCACCTGAATACAAAAATGAATAAATTTTCTTCTTTAGAAAGGGCATATTTGAGTTCTATAACGCATGCAAGACGAACAGTAGAAAGTACGATAAGTTTACACCTTCGTGGTTTGGTCATTTCGGCTTTTTACAATCATACTACCAAGAACTTGAATTTTTCACCATCGTGGTTACGTTACTTTGACTTTTTACCAACTTAATTTCATATTTTCGTCGATTTGAGATTTACTTTTGTCTCGATGGCCCTAACGAAACAACGTATAAAATACCGCGGCCTACTTATTTCGGGAGAAGTGACTTATATACATTTTGAGTGTTCCAAAATGGTCAAACAAATACGAATACGGAATGTTAAATGAACAGCATAATGTTTTTTCATTTGGCCATGAATTTTATAGTATCCTAAAATAATTAGACAACCCAATACCATACATTTCTAAAGCGTCACACTATGCCGCCGCCAGTCCACAAAAAGTACAGGCTGCATCTGATACGGCCTGTAGGTTGTCAGATAATATTGGTGTTTTCGTAGCTTTAGAGTGGTCTCTTCTGGTCAACATGTTTCGTTGATGTTTCTTTTAATCGTTTTCATTTGATATGTAAACCTCACAAAATGTCGTTGATAATTATGTTTTTGTCAAAAAATAGAATGTACAGCTGGTACATTTGGTCGTGAGTGTAGCAGAACGTGCACCAGCAACTGTCTACAAGGTTTAAATCAGTGTAGCACAATTTCTGGAGAATGTCAAATTGGATGCGTGTCTGGATTTCAAGGGCTTAACTGTTCGACTCGTAAGTATATATGCATATCGGTAATTGTTTAAATTATAGCCCTGGGGTCAAAATTGGCCCGACCCAAGGATCATTGATTTTCACTATATGTACATATAGTAAAAACTTAACAAACCTCCTTGTCTGAAGGTACAAGGCTTAGAGCTTTCATATTTGGTATATGATATCATCAATAGGTACTCTACCAAAGTTGTTCAAATTTGGCCTCTAGTGTCAAAATACGCCCCGCCCCGGGGGTCATAGGTTTTCTTTATATGTATATAGTAAAAATTTAAAAAATCATCTTCTCGAAATTGACAAATGCTAGAGGTTAGATATTTGCATGAAACATTGTGTAGTGAACGTCTACCAAGATTATTCAATTATAGCCCTGGGGTCAAAATTTGCCCCGCCCCGGGGGTCATTGGTTTTCACTATGTACATATAGTAAAAAATTAAAAATTCTTATTGTCTGAAGGTACAAGGCTTAGAGCTTTGATATTTGGTATATGATATCATCTGTAGGTACTCTACCAAAGTTGTTCAAATTTGGCCTCTAGTGTCAAAATACGCCCCGCCCCGTTGGTCATAGCTTTTCTTAATATGTATATAGTAAAAATTTAAAAAATCATCTTCTCAAAATTGACAAAAGAAAGATGTTAGTTATTTGCATGGAACATTGTGTAGTGAACGTCTACCAAGATTTTCAATTATAGCCCTGGGGTCAAAATTTGCCCCGCCCCTGGGGTCATCGATTTTAACTATGTAACCCTTGGGTCAAAATTTTGCCTTACCCTAGGGGACGTGACCTACGTTCTTGTCCTTTGATGTACAGCCATGAAATTTGGACCATGTGCACAGTTTTAATTGTAAAATTGAACTTTGAAATCAGGTGATCTAGATTTTGATGATGTGACCTACTTTATTGTCCTTATAAGTACAGCTATGAAATTTGAACCATGTGCACAGATTAGGATATTAAGTGAACTTTGCTATTAGCAGACCTAGATTTTGACAAAGTGTCTTATTGTGTTGTGCTTTGATTTGCCGTCTTAAAATTAAAGCCATGTAAAATATGACCTTCACCACTAAATTCACTAGACTCAACTGCATTGATAGATTCCTACTCTCATTATTTATTTAAATAACAATAGGTTAATTACTTTTCAAATAATAAGAATAAGATAGGTCAGAGGTATATGCATGATGACAATCTTCAATTGTATAGAAACAAAAAAAAATCTGCTCCTACACTACTATTTGGTGTTGTTTTAATGCGGCGGCATAGCATTTTTCAAAAATGCAATCTTGTTGACATTTACAGCGTGTAAGACGGGACGATTTGGTGTAAATTGTAGTTCGTACTGCAGTATCCATTGCTTCAAAGGAATTGAACAATGTAACAAAGCATCGGGTGTATGCAATGAAGGTTGTGAAGCAGGGTACATGGGCAATAATTGTTCGGCAGGTATTTTGTTCTTTATTTATTCGTTGCAAAGAAAACTGCATTAAAATAGAAATAAAAGAATTTAATTAACACGATAAATACAACTTTTGATACCTTTATGCTTCTTTCTTTTGTTTTCAATTTACTGTCCAATACACAACATAAAAAGCTTGGTGAAAATAAATACATCTTTAATACTTAATGCATAAATAGGCAAATACAATTTATCATTTTAAAGCTTCAAGATATTACAAGATGCTCTTTTTTGCCGCAATTAGTACTGTATTTGATATTATGATACAAAGATTACTAGTATATAGATGGGTCGACTGTTCTAGTTTACATTTACAAAAACTGACCATTGACATATGTATAAGTATAAATTATATATAAAAAAGATTATATAATTCCATTCAATACATATATTTAACATGCACTGAACTCATATGTAAAATCTACAAGTGCTGTAAACAGTTCACATTTAATTGCTATTGGTGTACAGACACCACAACGTCACTTTAATGAATTTGTTTTTGAAATGAAAAATTATTTTATTTCCAGAATTTCATACCATATGAAGTTGACTGAGTAAGTCAAGTACTAAAATTAACTTGAGTCATACAGTACTATGCTATATTGTCATTTTCTTTTTCAACAGTTTGTCCTGATGGTCAGTATGGTCGAGATTGTACCGGAACTTGTAGTGATCACTGTAAGAACGGTAAAGTTGCATGTAACAAATCAACAGGATATTGTATCAACGGCTGTAATCCTGGATTCACCGGGCCTAAATGTTCTCTAGGTACATGTATATAAATGAATTTTTAATATTTTTAGCAATACTTCTATAATTAATCGTTTCAAACATTTGAATGATGCAACCTTCGAACAATAATTAACAGATGATCTTATAAAAAAGTGCTTTCATATCAATCCATTATCGGTTCACGGACAAAGAGCAATTCTACATAATCTACAAACGCACATGATTTTCTTTTTGCAGACTGTCCACAAGGCACATTTGGTGTAAACTGTAGTGGTAAATGTCATTGTCAAGGTGAAACAGAATGTCGCAAATCAGACGGGAATTGCAGTAATGGCTGTGCGTTTGGATGGTCAGGATTCAATTGTTGCAATGGTATGAACTTGAAATTATTAGATAAGAGTTTAACATTCAAAATAGTGGTCATGAAAATAACATCAACAGTACTGATCTAGTTTTTGTTAATGTAACACAATTCTTAATATTATTATACCTGCTCAAAATGGAAAAACAAATTTTGAGTGACTTTTTTAATATTTAATAGTTGAATATGACAATTTAGGAAAACGGCTTGAATTACAAAATAATAAATGTTGTATGCTTCTCTTCTTCCGTTAATTATCGAAATATTACTTATATATCATTTCGTCAAATTTTCATGGCCTTTATTTTAACCCTGCTTTAAATATGGAACAGCTTATTCACAATTATAATGGATTTATTATCGAAACATGAGTAAGTTACCGAACGATCAGAAGCTGTGTTATGTCTTATATGGCTCTCGACGAATATAGCTCTGCGAAGAGCTTTAACCTTCCGTTTAAGTATGAATGTAATAATCCGCCAAAAACAAGCACCGTTTTTTAACAAATGATGATTAACTTCGAAGTGTGAACACTCTAGTGGCTGCAGTTTTGATACGAATTTCCTGGAAATCGGTCAGGAAGGTTGTTTAAATGAGTTCTAGGTCAAGTTCGAATATGGGTCGTCTCCGGTCAACCTAGGTCAAACTGCCGAAATATGGAAAAGTCTTTTTAACACACAAGAGGTCACATTTTCGACTCAATTGTCATCAAACTTGGCCAGGATGCTTATCTAAGACATTGCTTGGATGTGGTTGATGGGTCGTGGGGGCGATCTTGGGCCATCATTGCCCTCTTGTTCTTATTTCTTCTTTGCCATTTGATTAGTCACAAATGATTAGAAAATGATTCGTTCAAACAAATAATTTTACTTGTATAGTTTTTTATGGTCCTTTATATTCTATTTAAATATACAAAAACACTTGGATATCTAGTGTTCGATACTTAAGCACTTACAATTATACCTAAGGCAATGATAAAGTGATGTAATTGATAGACTTCGTAGATAGTCCAATATTCCTTGCAATTAATCTGAAATATGAATTAATTATTTCTCAGATGTAATCACTTCGACAGCAGGACAGGAACTGACTGTCCACAGCTTTAAGCTCTTTTTATGCATTTTTGAGTAGTTATATTTAATGATCGTTTATTGAAGGTGCGAAGTCATGCATCCAAGACATAAGAATATTGGGTCGAAATATCGGATCGAATGGCATTAGGTTTGAATGGTTTAAGGAGACGAAAAATATGTCCGTTACATCAAATAATGGTTATAAATAAATTGCTCAATCTAATCAATTCTTATTTATGTATTATTCACTTATTTATAATTTTTTTTTAAATATTTGATTAAACACAAGATTGCATATCTGTTTACCATTCACTTACATGGAAATTTATGTATAAAGCCTGCCGCGAGGATCGAGCAAATATAAGACATTCTTTCCAGAAATGTGTTATTTTTACCGGTGATCTCATAATTTTGTTTTACTTAATTTAATGCTCCGGCATGACCTTAACAAATTATTGTACATGTGTTCTTCGGCGGAGTATTTTCTCATCATGTTTTTTGTTTGTTTTGTTTTTTTTGTTGTTGTTTTTTTACTGGTGATATTTGTTTTTGCAGGAATTATTTTATTGCTATATAAGCTAGATTTCTTTGTCACGCGACAGAGCTTCTCAAGATTTCAAGTTAGGCTTAAAATTCATATTGTGTTGTTTAGGCTTTAATATTACAGTGTTAGAAAATAAACGGTAGGAAACTTCAGTGTTTGTGCTCTCTATTCAAATTTCTTAATGTGGTTAGAGTAATCCAAAGAGTAATTAAAGAAGACTCAACCATAAGACCACTAAATGTAATGGTGAAATCTGGTAGGAAGAGAGCAATCCTCACATTATCCCTGTCTCACAAAAATCATGGAAAATTATCATTCGCTACAGTATTTGTATCTTGCTGATGGTACTGATTATACAGGGCATATTGTATTGGTACTTGATTATTCGTTGAATAATCTGAATGACTTGACATTTTTATGGATACAATAGGGTGAACGTTTCAGTTTACACGCAAAATAATGAATAATTTTATAACACAGTAAATTTCCTTAAAATTGCAAGGAAAAAATATCTTTTAAGAATTTCTTTCCTTCTTAAGGTATCTACTTCAAATTTCAAATAAATGTTCCTTATCATGACATCAATGACGTCAATGACAAGGTTTTTAACTATTGACAGCTTTTGTTAAAAGATACTTTTATATCTAAAACTAAAACAAGGTTAGCGACTATCATGTCATCAACCTATAGGCTACATTGTACTTTAGAAATACATATTTTACCTTACCAATATAAGCATTGTTTATTATACGTGGTAAGTTTAACTCTAAATATTATAAAAACTTTCATAGTGCATTGATTGATTTTATACTATGATAAAATCCTACATTAAAAACCAACAAGCGAGAACACAATAAATTTTTATCTATAAAAAATGTTCACAGGTTATATGGCCTTATATAAACTGTTGTTTGATGCATATATAACCTGATCTGCCAAACAATGGTTATATTGCACATAACTGTTTATATACAGACATATAACCTGCCAGCAATGTTATTACTGAACATTTTGATAATAAAGCAAATTTCCTGAAAATTATAAGAAAAAAATATCTTTTCATATTTTTTTTCCTTCTTAAGGTATCTTCTTCAAATTTTAAATATATGTTCCTTATCATGAGATAAATCACATTCTATATGATAAGTTTTTTTAAAACTTTTGACAGCTGTTGATAAAATTTTTAACAAGAGCTGTCGATAGTTAATGAAAAGATACTTTACTGTCGTTTGAAGTCCCAATACTCATCATCAGATGTACTATAACTACTGTCATATGTATCATGAACTGTTTCGTTTTGCAAAATCCTAGTAATAAGTTTGAAACATTTTTCTTTGAGACTGCTATTTGGATGGACTCCATCATAAAAATGAGAGTAATAAAAAATTTTAATCTTTATTTTTGAAGAATTTGAAGTTACACGTCTCTTAGTAGAAACTTTCAATATATCTCTATCCATTCTTAAAGTTGGTTTGTTTTTTTGAGAATTTATCTTTGATTTTTTTTTATTTACATCGGTCATATCATTTTCTAAATTATTTTGCATTTCTACAGTGCTGTCTTCATTAAAAAAAGAGTAATTTAGTTTGTCTTTGAACATTTGATAATCTGTATTTGATAATAAACTTTTTTATTATATACTTATGAATGAAATATTGAGAAATATTGATGAAATAAAATGTGTATTTTCAGTTTCCGTATTTTCACTGAAAAAATTTATTTTTCACTGCAGTGAAACATATTTTCCGTATTTTCACGGGTGTCTTGCCGGACTACTTTCTTTTAAATTCTGACAGTACACAAAATTAAAGGGAAAGTCTTTCGTATCTAAACGTACAAAAAGAGAAAAAGTATATAATATATAGAAAATTCAAGTTTTTTTTCTATACAGTAAATACGGGATCTATATTATGACATGGTATGAAAATTACCATATTTCACTCGTGGCTACCACCACTCATGAAATATTTATTTTCATACCACTCGATGAAAATAAATCATGTATTTATAGAAAAAACTTCAATATCCTCTATTAATTGAAACTGGCGCTATTGTTGAGAAAAAGAAATTGAAATTTCCGTGAAATTTGCAAGTGATTTCAGATTTAAAAGTTTGAGAGTTTTCTATTATATTTGTAATTTTTGAATTTGATCTGTTGTATGCTAATTCGGTACCTCCAAAGTGTGTATTTTTTTCAGTAAAATTGCAATACAAGCGAAATAAAGCTGAAATAATTTTTTGTCTTAATAATGATACAGTTGCTCAAGGAACTACAATAATTTTTAAAATACAATTTGAAAATAAATGTAACATTTCTTGTAATGATTTTGTTTACTTCAGAAAATATTAATTATAATGTACATTTTTTAAGTGAAGGAAGTACAAAGGAGGCTAATAAAAGTATAAATTTTTAAAAAAAACAAAAGGGGGAATTTCAAAAAAAAATTGAAGGGGCCATGATATCATTGAAATGTAACTTTTTAATATAAATTTGTATATTTAAACGGGTTTCTTCACCCTATGTCTAAAATGTTTTTTAATATCTTTTTGAAATTCAGACAGGGCTACCCTTGGGGGAAGAATTTGATTTTAGTATTTTTTAAGTTTATTGACATTATAAATTGTAGTTCACAGTGTCCAGCAAGCAATGTCACTCATGGATGATAAATGAAAGCGGTATGCTAAATATAAATTAAATTTAATAGTTTTAACTTTATGTTATGATATTCAATACTATAAATAAAACTTGCTAAAAACATAATGTTTAACTTGTCAGCGACTTTCATGTCACCCACCTAGAGATATGACAACTTATTATATTATACGTATTGCAATATTATAAGCAAATGATAACAGTTTTAAAATTGTATTATACTTTATTATGTTCCCACAGTAGATATGATTATTCCATTCCAGCATTAAAATATAATGAATATTTTTTTAACAAAAGCTGTTAAGGGATGGTAAATGATGAAAGTTTGGACAATAAATCAAAGTAATGAAAAATAGAAGAGAATTAACTGCTTATTTTTGTAAACATTGCAGCATTAAGGTATACTTGTAATTATTGAAATGAAACAAACTATTTTTCAGCAAATCCAATGTAATTCTAGTATATTATTAGTTATAAATATTTTTGACAAGTTATGTGGACATATAAACAATTGTTTGTATATATAACCCAAAGCAACATATAAACTGTCAAGAATTTTATAACTAATAATATACTTTAAATAAAATTGATTTGTTTCCTAAATGAACAGTAAGCATGTATAATATTAGTTATAAAGATTATTTGATAGGTTATATGCCTGTATATAAATGATTGTTTTAAAATATAAAATAATTTGCTAGAAAAGGGTTATATTGCAAACAAATGTTTATATACGGGGATATAATCTGTCTGGAATATTCATTAGAAATTTATAATACAGGAAACTTCCTTTTTTGAGAAAAATATGTGATTGCTTAGAAAATTGACAGGATCTGTGTATATAAATCTGTATAAACGTTATGATTATCCAATGAAAAGTGACGTTACAAACATGCAGTATTATGAATAATAATTATCCAATCAAAAGGGACATTACATACATGTATAATTATAATTATTGTTACAACACCAGACAATCCATGCAGACATGTTAAATAGTTAATACTTTGATAAATAATAACTGATTAATGTAGATGGGCAAATTAATAATTATATGAGTTAGCGATTGTCATATCACCCACTCAGACTCAAAATTACTATTTTTCAACAAAGTCTTCACTAGACAAATTTCCTACTGTATGCAGATGGGAATCAATGTATAAATTGTTGAACTGTCTTTTGGTATTTTCAAACAAACAAAGTATTCTTGAAATTTCAGCTTTGCGTGCTTTTACGCGTTTTCTATTTACAACATGACAAAGCCTGTATTCATTTACTAACACAGATTAATGCCATGCAAAATCAGGTTCTGTTGTATCATTTCCAGCAGACTTTGCTCTTGAAAGTGCAAAAAATAAAGCACCTGGGTTTCTGGACTCAAAAGCATGTTTACCAGGATAAATTACAATGTATCTGTGACATTCATGCTTTTCAACAGTCATCCCTTGGCATTTATGAATAGTAAGTGCCCAGCCAAGACAAAATGGGACTTGTTTTCGTTTACATGTGACATGAATAGTCAATTTTTTTTTTAACAGGAACTAGTGGAACAATGTTTGGATTGGAATTGATAAATGGTGGTCCTGTATAGTTAGAGAAATCAACCATCACAATATTTGGCAGACAGTCTGTTGGTTTTTTATTTGCAGGATAAATGATATCATAAACTGAACCAATAGCTCCAGTGTATAATTCAAATTTAACACAGAGATTGACTGTCAACATGACTTTAGCAGTTTTTACAAATATAGATGTTAAGTAAGATGCCATTATATTTGTCACGGTCTGCTGTTTTTAAGTGAGGACCTTTACAAACACATGTAATCTTCGCTTTGGGGAATATTTTATTAACGTTTAAGATTTTTTGTTTGTTATGCTCCCAAGCTTGATTATGTGGTGTAACATTATAATTTCTAAGAGATTGTAAAGCATTTCGAAAATCATTTGCATCCTTGTTTTGACGGACAATTGTATTAAGTGTGACAGCAACTGAAAACTCGTTCCAAACAAGCAACCCATGTATTGCTGCTGGTGAAGAATTATTACAATCATATACTTGAGGATATCAAACAGGTGGTAATTGAACATCATCTCCAAAGAAAATAACAACATGAAGACCGCCCTTAGATTGATTACAATTCTTTCCTTGATTTACACCGTTACGACAATGGAATTCCATTCAAACTAAGGTTAATGCACCTATAAGAGAACGTTCATCAACCAGAAGAACTTTCAATCCATCACAATTGGGTTGAAGATCCTTTATAATTTGTAGGAACTTTTAAGAAACTGTGCAATGTCACACCTTAAATGATGTTGGCACTGTTGCAAGCAGAACAAATTACTTGAATAGACTTATTTGTTTGAAAATGTAATCTTACTGATTTTATTAAATATTTAATTAAGTATGATTTGCCAGAACCAACAGTACCAGTTACAATCATTGTTAATGGTTGAAAATCTTAAAAGTTTTATTAGAAAATTCTGTTATTTTGTTCATAATGATATTAAATGCAACAAGAACTGTGTCCAAATGCCCCCACTGACAACATATATATATAAATATATATAAATATGGTATATAGTGAAAAAATCAACAAAGGGCCATAACTCTGTTAAATTTAGTAGCAGCAAAAATTCCTTCCTTTACTACCATCTACACATGATGGTTGTTCATCCCTGGAAGTTTAAACAAAATCTGTCATGCGGTTTAAGAGGAGTTGCGTTCACAAAATTTCTGTATGGTATATAGTGTTAGCCAGACTTTCCGAATATCGACAGTTAGTTTTATTCCAATCATATGTTTCACCTCCATCGTTATAATCAGAATCAGTAACAGGGCAATCATATTCAATATTTGGTCTGATAGCATCCATCCATTCTGGCTGTTGAGAAGAAATTGCTAAATCATCATCACTTTCATTGTCTTGATTTTGTTTATGCTTTGCTGTTTCTTTCCAGTCCAGCTTTAAGAAAATTTGGACATTGATCAGTAAGAATAAATTGTTTCATTTTTTATTCCAGGTAACATTTTCATCATTAATGTCTGAAATTGGCCTCCAACTTGGCCAGTGGAGAAAAAAACATTTTGCTGTATTCTTCATGTAGTGGCCAAGTTGCATTTAGTGAACATTCCGAAAATACGGGAAATTTATCACTTTGACAAACAAATTCATAAAAAGACATATTTGTATTTTTATCTCTGGAAAGATATTGATCAAGTGCATTGTTCCTGGAGATAATTTGACCATCTTTTTCAAGTATTCTGGCACCTGATAAACTAACTGATCTGAAAGTATGACTACTTCTATACAATGGAAGTGATGATAATTCAAATGAAGCTTCAACAGAAGAAATGTCTCTCTTTACAGTATTAATCAAAACTTTATTACAGATTGTTTTAGCATTAGAACCATTTGATGTATCTGCACAATTTACCATGTCATTAAAAAGATCTGAAACAGCGCCAGTTGGTTGATTACCTTTACAAGCATATCCAGTTATATATTTTTCAGTTGCAATAATTTCATCTACAGAGGGATTGTCTGGTGAACTTTTTGAGAGTATTAAAGAGATATCACCATTTGCACGCCAGCCTTGTGTATGAAACTTAGAATGCTGTACCAGCATAGGGTGATCTCTGGTCATTTCAATGCGAAGTGATCCATTTTTGTCTTTCACTAAGGCTGGGTGGTCACGTAATTGTTTACCAGGCATATCACTTGTACCAAATTCCATTCTACATTGTTTGTTTCCTGACTTAGTAGCTCTAAGACAATAATCTGAACATCTATGTAAATTAAAACGGTTAGTGAGTAATAAATGATCTTCTAATAGTGATTCTTGAGATTGGCTTACATCCATTAATAATTTAACAAGAGGGTTAGAATAGCCGGTTAAAATAATCGTTCATTTTTATTTTACATTTTCCGTTTTAAAATTATCATTCAGTAATTTATACACTGCTTCCGTTTATTCTGGTTCCCCCTTTCTATTATGGTTCCTATATAAGTGCAATCAAAGTACATCGGCTTTTATCGTTATCTTGTAATTCGAAAAGTTGCGATGTGTTAATTCGGTACTTCGGACGAAAGTTTTCAAAACCGTCACTTAGCTGGTACTCGCGTTATCGTAAAGAACGCTTGGCGAACAGGCCCTTCGGGTCAGCTCGTCGAGCTCGCTATTAAGTGAAGCTGCATCATAAACAATCGAACTTTAAAAACTTGAGTGTAAAATAACGGAATTATCTATTTTGACAGAAGTCACGAAAACAGATAAAAAAAACACAGGACTCTACCACGGATAACATTAAGGGAAATGGATAACATTAAGAGAAAAGCTTCCAGAATCAAGAGGATAAAATTACTGGCACAACAGGTAGATTTAAGTTGATCCTGTATGTTTCATTAGGACACCGAATAATTTACTGTGTTGTCGCCTGTAAAAGCTTCTTAAAACGAAAGTGAAAGTAGAAATAAACAATACTAAAATCCAGTGAAATCACAAAAATGGTAAAATTTCTAGGGCATTACAATATGAGTATATATAAATATTAAGAATGCACTTTTATTTTTTTCTGAAACTGTATTTAAACAGTAATCGAGTGGAAAAAATGAGGAAAATAATGAAACCGGTCAATCTCATGCACCTCCATTAGTACAAGATGGGGAGGAGTCAAGAATGGGACTCCAAGAATTTGTGAATCATGTGTAAAATGTAAAGTTATTAGATTTACAAAGACAGCGCAGCAGAAAATATTTTTCATATCGCTTAAAATTGAAATTTATTGACATGCGTTTAATATGTATTAGTATTCTAAATTATTACTAAGCAACATTAAATATATGGTATTACTGTCACAAGTTTAAAAAATATGCTGCCTTACCGAGACTTGAACCCCTGAGTCTGAACTATCAGGCTGCTTACACATCACCTCCCTAAAAAGTGGACAGTTTGGAACCATGACATATATCCCTGCTTTATTGAAATTCGTCCTTGAATAGGCAGAATGTGAATAGGACTTTTATACCATCGTTTCATACCATCACAGTCCCCTGTGGAATAGGTGATAGTATGAAACTCCAAGTAAATTTTACATTGTTGTTTTAAATGTTACAGAGGAGAACTCTTTACACTCAGTAGAGAGTGTTTATACAGTCTTGGCCCTATGTTGGTTCCCGAAAGTAACTGTGAAGCCTGACTGGGGCTCAAATCTGGGAGGCTTGCATGGACACTTTGAATACCATTCCGAAGCTCTACCAACTGACCTATACGGTTTCTTCAATATCCCCTTCCCTAATCATTGAACAGTTAATAATTTGACATCCCTGCCATATTGAACTCCACAATTTTTTCATGAGTATAGAGAACACGTCTCAGCTATATACCACCATGGCTCTACATTTTGCCCCGATATCAAACCCCGGACAATCAGAATACCATATGGGGGCTGCACTGACTAAGCTATCTCAGGCCATCTCACATTCCCACCCCCTCCACAATTGGTACAGAAAAATACGGCAGCGTCCTGGTGCCAATTTAACATGTTCTATAAGAATTGAAAACTCCTACGAAGGAGATAGAAAAGCCTAATTAGGAGTTTATTACTCCTACGTAGGATTTTATAAGTCATACGTAGGACTTTGTAACTCCTACGTAGAAGATAAAAAAGCATAATTAGGAGTTTATAACTCCTACGTAGGACTTTATAAGTAGAGGAACACTTATAAAGTCATCCTACTTTTAAACTCCTACGTAGGACTTTAAAACTCCTAATTAGGTTTTTATATTTCCTACGTAGGAGTTACAAAGTCCTACGTAGGAGTTATCTTTTTTTATAGAACATGTTAAATTGGCACCAGGACGCTTCCGTAGAAAAAAGAATTATAAGCTGAAATATACCTTAAAAACCCAAAATGGTAAGTGCAGAACTCCTGGATTAAAGATGAGTTGTTAACCTATCTAGCTCAAGTGAAGCAAGGGCACCGCAAAAATTAAAAAAAAACATCCCCAGAAATATGTCAATCTCCTTATATTAAGTTATTCAAATTAATACAGTAAATACTAGACAGCTCATTGAGCTCAAGCATGTGACATGCATGTTTTTAACAATTAATTCCAGTTTGTCTCTTGTTTAAAGGGAAGCAACTCATGTTTACCAAATTGTTTGTCCTTATCTGTCTATCTCAGACAGACTATTCTAACTGTTTATAAACAACTAGGTTATTGGTAGCGTGCTTATCAGACTACACAGGAACTTCCTTATTGTTTTTCTATTAATAAATAGAATGGAATAATGGATATTTTGTGTGACTGGCTGTATCATGTACTTTAGAGTTGATTTCCATTAATCCATACGTAAAGGTATCCTGCAACAGGATTCATCCAATAATATTTTTTTTTGATATTCAGATTGTTAATAAAATAAGCTTTGGTGATAGACGGTGGCGTCACGACCTTATGCTGATAACTGGCAATTTAAAGAACTTGAAGTGCTACTTTTGATAACTTTGTTTAGTGAAGAGCAAAAATGGCCATTCATTGCTATTTCTTCTGAAGCGAACTTTCCTGACTGCCCTCAACCTCTGTAGGCATTGTATGCACAGTTTTCCCAACTTTCTTCCCCTTTCCTTTCTATTGCAGCCCTCCCTTTTTTACCAAATGACTGATGTAAATGTTGTCGAGCAGTTTTATTGTGTCGCCTTGAAAAAGGCGACATATCGGGGTTACTTTTGTCGGAGTCGTTGTCGGTGTCCGTGTCGGCGTCCCATTAATCTTGTGCCGAGCATAAGCCAGTCATTATAAGTCGGATTGACTTCAAACTTAGTATGCATAATGGCCCGAAGTGCAGTGCACAAGAAAATTGAACTCTGCACTTCTTAATTTTTGAGTTTTTGCCCTTTGTTAATTTTCATACTTTATTTTTGTACGGGCCGCTTTGGACTTGAAACTTCATTGGATGATAGATCTCATTATGAAGAAGTGCAGTGCCTATGGACTGGTACTCTGCATTACTTATTGTTTGAGGTTTGAGTTATTGCCCTTTTTAATATTCATACTTTATTTTTGTCCGGGCCATTTGTCCTAAATTATAAAAGCTTTGGACATGAAACTTCACAGGATGATAGGTTTCATTGAGATGAAGTGCAGTGCACAAAAACCGGTACTTTAAGGTTTTTGATTTATTGCCCTTTGTTAATTTTCATACTTTATTTTTGTCCAGGCCATTTCTCCTAAAGTATAAAAGATATGGACAGGATGATAGATCTCATTAAGAAAAAGTGCAGTGTACAGAAACTGCTGTTCTGCACTCCTTTTTTGAGTTATTTATTGCCCTTTATTAATTTTCATACTTTATTTTTGTCCAGGCCATTTCTCATAAATTATAAAAGATATGGACTTGAAACTTCATGATGATAGATCTTATTGATAACAAGTGCAGTGCATAGAAACTGCTGTTCTGCACTCCTTTTTTTGAGTTATTGCCTTTTGTTAATTTTCATATTTCATTTTTTGTCCTAGCCATTTCTCCTAAACTATATTGTTCACAAGGCGACACATCCGACTCGCTGGCTGAAATCTAGTGTTTTTAATAAACTTGAACAGGGAGGCTTCGGTGCATTACCGGTGCGTCCCGTGACAATACCAGCATCACCCGTAGCTAAACCGTGGTGAAATCAGTGATGGTCGGGATGGACGTGTAGGCGGGTCTCCAAGGTATCAACCAGGAATACACCGGGTTAGCATCGGCACTTACCCGTATATAGCCGGTGTTATTTTGTTTCTATTATAGAGTAATGGGAATATTATTAAGGTTGGCTAAGCCTGTATGTTGTGAATACATGTCTAACTTTGGGACAGATTTACTTAATGAATTTATTTACATCTTATTTATATTATGGAGAGCCACTGGTTTCAATATTCAGTTCTAAAACAGAATCAATCCCACTACAGACTTTTAACATAGTACATGTAGGTGTTTTCTTGCACTCTTGAATAAGACTAAATTTTATGGTGGCTGAGTTGGTAAAGGGACATTTCAGACAATAGACATTTCTTACCAGACATATCAAACCAGATTTTAAGACACTTCAGAACAGTTTTCGGGACATTTCAAACAGGATATTTGGACACTTCGGCCCATACATTGGACACTTTGGACCAATCATTTAGACACTTTAAACCTTTCTGTGGGATGTATCAGACCAGTTTAAAATATCAAATTTTGGTATATTCATGTATATCATTATTTTCTAAGAAGACATGGAAAACAACAAAGTGCCATGGACGCCGGGCAAAAATACAATCAAACTTATAAGTCTTATTTTTAAAGTTTTCGTCTGGTGCCTACCAAAGCAAAGGTACAACATGGCACAAATCAGCCACCGTAGATTTTATTATGTACAATTTCATTTGTACAAAAATAAAGAAATGGTACAATGTATTAATTAGTTAAGCTTTAACTATACATGTATAAATAAAGGAACTATCAATAAACGTCTCATCCCATTACAGTAAAAAATATATATTATAATACTCATAATATAATTGTAATTTTTAATTTTGTCAAAAGAATGTGTGCATGTATATTGTTTTTTTTCAATGCTGTTAATTCAGAATTATTTTACCTGTTTTTAATGCTATCTAACCGTATCTGTCATGGGTAAGAGGTGTTCACGTTTAAGCACATAAAAGGTGTAAGCGACCGGACAGCTCAGTCGATAGAGACGCGGTACGGTAATCTGAGGGTCACGAGTTCGGGTCACTGTGACTGCCATATGGCCCAGAGTTTAATTCACAATGCTCTTTAACCCTGGGAAATTCGAGAAAATATTTGCATATATAGCAGGGAAGTATTTTACGGTTTAGAACTGTTCAGTATTTAGGGGAATAAAGTGTAAGCGGCCAAATACCTCAACGGGAAGAGCCGCGAAATGGTAAATGTACATGTATTCCGAGTGTCAGGGCTTCGAGTCTCTGCCAGGCTGTTACATATCAATACAAAACTGTTAATAAGAAAAAGAAATATGAATAATGGTAAGGAATTGTCTAAATTTAATATCACCCTGATAAATAGGATTCGGATACCATCATATTGTGTCTAATGAACCTGATATCGAATATATTGGTACGCATATAGACACATGTTTGCTGAATTGAATATCAAACATGTTGCAATTAAATAGTGATTAAATCCTCAGCTTATGTAAAAAAAGATTTAAACCAAACTTCGGCGTAAAGCACGTCGAAATCCGGTATTCATCATAAGGTCACAAACTTTTAAAAATAAAAATATCACAATAATAACTCTCTATATAATATTTTTGTTCTTCAAAAAGGGCCCCGAAACTTTTAAAAAAAAAAAACCCAAATTTACAAAAAGATCTGTTTTAAAATATTGGGTTTTAATTTCTCAATAGTAACAGACACAAAACGGTACTTAAACGTTTGACGAACGCAACGCACGCAAAAAGTTCGGGGTAGCAAAAAAGCACGCTTTTTAAACGCACGAAAAAACGAAACTGAAAACACGAAAAAAATTTAAAAAGTTTTAAAAGTTGTAAAAGATGCAATTAAAAGGTTTTAAACAAAAGCAAAGTTTGTCGAAAATACGGGACGCACGATTTTACGAAAAAAAAGCACGCATTTAAAAAACCATTTTTGACAACCGGGAAAAGTTCAAACCCTATGGTTTCAAAATTTCCCCGACACAAATTTTGATATGGTTCCCCGGGTTTCAAGTTTTTACTTGCCCTTTTTAAAATTTCCTTTAAAAATCTTGAATTAATAATGTTAATAATGATGATGATGGTTTTGTTGAAGATGTACTGATGATGATGAGATGATGACCTTATGATAGCGATAATGATGATAACAGGCGATAATTAAAATTACAGTTGTAATGCTGACGATGGTACTGATGGTGATATTGATTGTAATGATAATGATGGCGTATTAACATTTGTGTTATATATGAGAACACTAACATAGTTCAACAAAATTAATTGCATGTTATATATTGGGAGCTTGATCCGTGAAAAAAGGACTTATCAACGTATAAAACTTTTTTGAATAAAGGCAATTGTAGTAAGGTATCGGCAAATAAATATCCATGAAGAGCTATATTAATTAAGAGCTTTATGCGGCCAAACATTCTTTTTTAGACTACATGAATGTGGCATATTATTATTTTTGTCGGTTTCAGCTTGTATAAATTACTTTTAAACATTTTAGAAAAGTTAATGAACAAATCATGGAAAGTTACTTGGGACATTAATTGTTAAGTTTCATTTTTATTCATGCCTTATTAACGTATTCAAAATTGCACTCAACTATAAACTAATTTTGCAATTTTCTCAAATGCAAATATTTTTTTATTTTAGAAATCAGTATTAACTATTTAAAGAAATAAAAGCTTTTCAGAATATGTAAGTAAATCACATAGCATTTTAATACTCTGTGTCCCAACATGCCTTTTGTCCATTGTACAGTGAACAATTACACGGGTGTTCAAGGCCATACTGCACAACGTGAAAGGGTGTTTCATATCTTTTGTTTATTAAGTAAATATTACCATGTTTAGAATTCAATACGTTTTTAAAAATATATGATTTTTTTTCAGTTTAAATGAAATAAAGTATTCGAAAAAATTAGTACCATCAGTTAGTACACCTTTTCCCCAAATTAAAACCCCACAAGATTTTAATCGGGGAAAATAGAGGGGGTTCCCAAAATTTTTAGTAATAAAGAAAATTTTTGCTTTAAAAAATGGGGGCCCCCAGGGTGGCAAATTGATTTAAACAAAAATCCCTGATTTTACAAAATTTTTTGGAGGGAGTCAGGTAAATGAGTTTCAAAAAAATTTTATGTAATGTTTTATAATGAAAAATTTAGTGTTATGTAACACTAAGATACAATCACAAATTACTACTAAGTCAAACCAGTGTATTATTTATAAGGTAATTTCTTACTCAAATAGCAATTATATAAAGAGAAGACAACAGTTACTGTTTTTACTTATTATAGCTTTGTAAAAATAAAATGTCATGTATTGGAATACGCATACACACATATTTTTTATAGATTAATCAAAAGTTTGAAACTTATCTCAATACAGGTGAAAACGAACTGTTAGAACATGCAATAGTTTATGCTGGCAATTACTCAACGACAGTAAACCCGTCAGTAAATATGACAAATATTTACATGGTTCCAAAAATGACAAGCAAACGACACTTTACCACGATACTAGTAAAACCATTAATTGCGCAATTCGTTTTAGTAGAGTTGTCACAGAGAGTGATGACTTTGTGTGAATTGAAATTATATGAGAAAGGTAACAAGAATCAAAATAATAATTTCTTAATTGATTAAGGAACATTCCTAGCATATTTGGTTAAATATGTTTCCGTGTAACAATTCTACCCGGACTTGCCTTGTTACATTTGTTATCTAATGAGCATAAGTATTAGGTAATATTTTAATTGGTCAAATTTAAATGCATTGTATTTACTGATACTAAACATTCTGAAATACATTTTGACTTATACTGCAAACTGTAAATATTGCATCGATGAAATTTCTATAAGTATTACAAGCGACTTTATTTTCCTGGCTTCAGATTACGTGTTTATAAAATATTTCTATAAAAACATTATTTTCGGATTTTAAACGGCATTAAGGTAATAATTTTATAAACAAACCTTATGTACTCGTAGATTAAACCACATATACCACTGTCACTGCATATCAGTTAAGTATCAGGTAAATATTATTGCAGAATCGATAATTTAAGTAAACTTTTTCAGAATGTGACATTGGATATTTTGGAACTGGTTGTACACATAAATGCCATTGTAAAGATAATCGTGCATGTAACCAAGTAACAGGTAAATGTCAGACACCGGGTTGTCTAGCAGGGTGGCAAGGAGAGGCTTGTGAAAATGGTAAATAACAAATATGTAAATGATATTGCTGATTGTACAACTTTTAATTAGATTTTGTTTTAATTTGAAGATACTTCCTAAAGACAATCATACATTAACATTATAGAAAGCCTGGTAATTACAAATACTATTATTAATATCTTACAACATAATTCATTACTCTCGTTAACGATATATATGCGCTTACTCATCTAATTCATGATTTCTAGAAATGCTTGTTTATTTATGCTCACGATACAATTTTAAGAACCATGATAATGCAACAGGAACAGGAGTTTTAAAAGACACATTTTATTTTATATGAAACTACACGAAAACATTCCTTGCATTTGCTAAATACAAGTTTTTTATGATATCAAAAATAATCACTTTTTTTAATCCTTAAAGTATCAAATCTAACCATTTAAAGTATATCATTCAGTACTTTTGTGCCCACGGCTTAAAATATCGGGTGATTATTTTTTATTAATTGAAGTTCGATCAAAAGCGTTAAAACTTGCAAGTTAAGCTTTATCAACTTACTCAGAGACATTTCATTGAAACCTTATTGTAGTTTGTGATGTTCGAAAGTTTGGTGATGGATGCAACAACACTTGCAATTGTAAAGATGGTACTTTTTGTGATAATACTAATGGAACATGCTTTGTTGGGCAATGTGACCCCGGATGGCTTCTACCAACCTGCAGCGAAGGTACGTTTCCTTTAACCATAAATTCTATCACTCCACGTGATTTTGTCACTATAGACAAAGAACGAAAAAAACTGGTTTTAAACTGCCAATAAACACTGGTTAGATGCGTCTTTTATGTTTTCACCCTCGATTATATAGTTTACAAAGCCTTTTAAAGCAACAATAAAAACATTTTTATTTATATTTTCAGTTCTTAATGTTTTCTTATCATACAATACCGAAATAATATCTCTAATACACTAACGCTTCATATTTGGTCCATATCAGTTAATAAATATTTTGACAAAACGGCGCCAATCCGTAAGCAGCGTAATGACGTCATCGTAAGTAAACAACTAATTCATAAATAAGCTGACGTTATTTCATACATACAAGAATGATAAATGTGGCACTGATGTAAATACAATATGACGTAAGTTTTTATTGTTGAAAACTTGATAAAATAACGTTTTTTGTTATTATTTATTTTGTTTAATAATTTTTATATCTTTGCAACAGTAGGGTGCAATAATCGAACAGCGTTTTTCGAAAATCGGCACCGGAAGTTATTTCCGCTCGAAAAAATTAGTGATTTTCCTTGTTTTATCGTGATATAATCGAAATAACATCGGCCTGAGAGGTGTATATCGGCTATTTAACACCAGTTTTGTCTTTTTGATGCGAAAAAATTAACCACTCAGGCCTAAGGCCTTCGTGGTCAATTCCGAAGCATCAAAACTCCAAACCGGTGTTAAATAGCCGATTTACACCTCTAAGGCTGATGTTATTTCTTAAATCAAAAGTTTGCTATAAGTATTGTATAATGTTTCAGGCAATTATATTAGAAATTGGAATTAGTTTAACGTTCAAAGAAAAAAGTAACTGTAAATGACAGCAGTTTACAGATTTCTTTTTCAAAATAATCTTATGAAAGATTTCTTTGTTTTGAATATATATTTGCACTAAATTGAAGTGTACATCATTGTTAAGTTGGCTTAAATTATCGGCCATTCGGATATTACTGTTCATCTGTCTTCAAATGTGTTTTTCATTTGAGACATTATATTGTTACACAAATTGCAATGATAAAACTTTTGCTATGTCTCCGATTTTTTACAAAATTTAATACATGTAGATTAATTTTGGAAATGTTTGGGTTATACTTTTTAATGAGAAATTTCGTTTCATCATCTATAGATTTTACATATTTCGCATATCATTAAATCGATCATTACAATACAACAAATCACTTATGCCACGATACAAGAACACTCGTTTATACAATTTAGTAGATATATTTTCTATTATTACTTTAAAAACGTGTATGACCATTGTCATTTGGTACAAATTATTATATAACAATTTACCAATGTATTAGTATCAATTCCAATTGATCTGTCGAGCAGTGGAACCGTGTTAGACGAATTAAATGACATGAATGCTGACTAACAAACAAATTTCAGGTTGACGTGTACGTACATTGCATAATGCCTAATAAAACATATTATTATTACTCAGATGTAGGGAGTTGACGGCTTTGCAGTGTAGCGGTTTGACAACGTGAGATTGACAGCAACAATATAAAACAGGGGAGAAACGAAAACATACGGTGGTGAAAAGTCGAATCGAAGTTATATCGAGTTTTCACTATCATGGTTTCGTTTTTTTTTTCAATTTTTCTGCATCGCGCTTTCACCATCGTTGTTTCGTTATTTTTACTTTTTCTACCATCACATTTACGTGTTTCGTTGAATCCAGTTATGTGATAGTCGCATTTGGAAAAATAACCGTACAAAAATGATAAAATTAAAAACGTCTTTCAAATCCTTGTTCTGCTGACATCGTTTAACTCACAATATGTGTCTGAAGAACTTCATTTATAACCGTTTTAATTGTTTCAAATTTCAACAACAACTTTAGCCCGTTATGTCGCTAAGCCGCCAGGCCATTAGACACTTTCTTTCCTCGATACGATTACCACAAATCTTTAAACATTCCCTTGTATATCGACAGATAAATATTGATGAATTAGTGAAATTATATTAACTATATCTAATAACTAGTAAACGTAGTTTAAAAGCTAATACACATATATTTCAAAGGTTTAAGGTTTTTTTTGCGATGATCAAAATTGAGGGATAAGAAACTTAATTATGTCTTTGTATTTATTTTCTGATATATCCTTTCCCCTGCAATATGTTTTATGTTATTCAGTCTTCTTTCAGGGTACATTTTGATATAATTTTTATCTCTCTTGTAATTTCCTTGCAATATGTGTTTGTTTCAATGATTGGATTTTACGTATCACAGACACAGTATATGTCATATGGCAACGTTTCAGTGATACTGTTGGAGGAAGACCTCAGATGCCTTTCGTACATTCTTTCAGGCACGAACGGACACCACCTGAGAAGAAACACCCACGTTCCGTAAGCTAGCTTGATAGCTTCCTCACATAAAAAATCTTATCATGTCGGGATTCAAACCCACAGCGGTGAGGGGTAAGTGGTTTGAAGTCAACAAACTTAATCACTCGGCAACGGACGCCCCTTTCATAGCAATATACATTGCACCAACTGTCATAAATAAAGATGTCAATTCATTAAGTAAATATAAACGGCTGTCCTGATCTTGATCCTTTAATCTTTATGAAGTGGGCCTGAAGATTAACAAACGTAAATAATTTTATTTACGTATTGGTGTTGCATAATAAAAGAAAACAGTGTAACCTAATTGTGTAACAATGTTTTCTATACCATTGTAATTGAGATGTCTAAAACGCACTGTTCACAGATATCTTAAAAGAATTAATGTTTTCATTTTATGTATTTTATAATTAGTTATTTTGATGTTGTATATAAATAGATATAAACATTTTGAGGCGCTTGGATGTGCAAACAGCTATGTCATCAATATTACTTAATTGGACTTCAAATCGCGCAATTGATGGAAAAATTGGTCCAATACCTGAGGTTTGCAATTGCTGCAGCGGCACAAAGAATTCCCAATTGTCTTGGTGGATGGTAGATTTAGGACAACGGTATCCTATCAGTAGCGTTACTGTGTACAGTAGAGACAACGGTTAGTATGTATCTGTTTTGTCTGCTTATATTGTAAGAAATGTGGAACTTTCTGTAAATATAACGCAAAACTTTGTTTTTTATTTAAAAATCAACATGTTAATTTCTGCTGAAGCCGAAACTAGGAGATAGGTGTGGTGGGGAGAGACGATTAGAAAGGAAGCTGGAGCTTACAATTTCTGTCTATTTACAGGTTTAGTCAAACTGCACTGATTTTATTATAATTGCCTTTTTGTGTTTTGGTTTGGGTATTTATTTCGTTATTTCAAGAAGTATGCTTTTTTTATTAATTTTTTCTATATGGTTAATATTTACTTATCTGTATGTTTTAGAGGGAAAATATAAACAACTTACAGATTTCAAGCTTTATTTTGCTAATAATACTGGACAAAATTCATATCATCTGGTTGAAAATACCACGAGGCGAGTGGATGGAAATGAACATGTGCTAACTTTTTCAAATCAGCTAACAAGATATATTAAGATCGAGAGACCAGGCATCCTGACTTTGTGTGAAGTTTTGGTGACTGAAGGGGGTGAGCACTTTTATTCTCAACTCGGATTAATGTACATTTCTATTTATTGTCTCGGTATTATTTGAATTATTGCTAGCTAGTTTATGAATCGCAAATCATAGTCAAGTCAGTGTTCTTCAATTAATACAAGATATTTAATAGATTTTAGAGGCAATTTGTTTGCTAAATGTAAAATTTGATTTATGGCAGAAAAATGATGAGGACTTCATGTTTTACAGAATGTGAGGTAGGAACATTTGGCGAGGAATGCTCCCAAATTTGTCACTGTGCCGATGAACGTGCATGTGATAAAAAAAAGGGATATTGTCAGCAGAGCTTTAAAGTTGGTTGGGTTTGGTACATTTGTAACAAAAGAAAGCTTCAATGAACTTGTGTTACATCTCAAAAAATTTTTGATTTTTCAAAAAATATTTTTTGTATTTTAACCTTAAATATAGATAAATTATGATAACGGGCCAAATTCAATTATGAAAACCCCTTTTTGAGATGCGATATCAATGGTAACATATATTTCCAGTATAGCGTGTATTCCAATATGCTTACAGGAATTGTGACATATATTTTAATCATAGTATTGCCGCAAAGAAAACAATCTACTATAACTGCAAAAGTAAAAAAGTTACGACAAGTTTTATTACATTGCAATAGGCAAATATTTACTAGAATATGTTTATTTGTGAAGTATTGAAAGAAATAACGAACAGATAGCTGTTACAAGAAGGGGTGACCGATGTTACGGTAAACAAATATCACGTGATTACCTACCCTGTACACTTCAGCCTTCAATATTTCCGTATACAATCTTGAAATCTTAAAATTGGAAAAAAAAAACATCTTTATGTAAAAATGTTTACTTTTAAATTTGTAATAAGGCGCCCTTGTTTATGATTCATTTCATATTTTATTTAAACTTATGCTGGAATTACGGCATAATTTGTATATGTTTGTTTATAATGCGTCGTAAGTTGAGACTGACATTTTGTTTTTACTAAGAATGTCCGAAAAACACTTTTGGAGACAAGTGTAGTGAAGAGCTGTTTTTGTGCAGATGGTACATGTACAACGACTAGGGATATGTGAAAACGGTGCCAAGACAGATACACTGGTTTCCATTGTAATCAAGGTGAGTTGATGTAATATCCTAGTAACTTAGGTCTGCTATTTAAATTAAATACCTCTTGCCGGACTTTCTTTAAACTTCCCTCAGATGTTCACCTCAACAAGGAAATGGGCAGCATCAATGCTAGCATTGTGCTTGCTGAAGCAAAATGATAAATAGTTTCACGTCTACTTTATAAACCCTGTACCTTTCTAAATGTTATTCATCAAGCTTTGCGCAAATTGTTACTGCAAATATGCAATGTGAAGATGTTCCTACTGATGGTCACATTTGAAAGTGAAATTTAGAGAATCTCGTGACTGCTGTAAACATTTGGCTCAAATGTTTGATGTATCACAGTCAATGCCACCCTTGAAAGTGAAACGTCATGCTAGTTTATGTCAGCTATACAAAAATGTTCCTTCATGAAGGGCTTTTTTCAAACTTTGTTAAAATGTACAGATGTTTATGAATTTTTATGCTTCCTCATGGTCAAGGTCTCAATGTTTGTAACAGCAGCCGGTGTAAGACCTTTTTAATCTTAAGTGGAAACATTGTCAAAAATACTATTTTGTGAGTAAAATGTGCTTGATGACGTGAATATCTGCATGGATTATTTTAAAAACGGAACACAAGTAAAGAAACTTTATTTGGCAATATTTTTGTGATGACGTCTTTATTTGTATCGCATATCGTAACATTAACAAATTAATGTCAGCAACTAAAAAGGGTGATATATTAAATAAAAATGTCTTTGTTTAGCATGTAACATCGAATTTTATTTATTTAATGAACACCAAGTCTTATATTTTCATCCGATTTTCAGTCATTGAAATATTTTTCGAATCCTCTATTGTTTGTATACAGTTGGTAACCCACCGGGAGAAAAGAAAAAGAAATTTAACAGTTCGTAGCGGGGGTTACAAAAGGATCAATAATTTTCAAAATAGCGCCTTAATTTTGTGTTTTAATATTTAAAAAAAGAAAAAGGTTTAAAAAATTTAAAATTTAAAAAGACATAACTTCAAAAGCTTTAATGGATTCATGTTATTTTGAATTAATCTTTTTTTTTTTATAAAATTATCTTCGTGTTTCAAAAGAAAATAAAGAAGCAAAATAAGTTTCATATACATCAATTGGGCTTTTTTTTACTGCACGACACAGTTTTTATAATTGAAAGGGAATAATTCAATTTATTAATAAGTCTTGAGATAAGTCCTTTTTGAAATACATTTAAAAAAATTTTTTTTAATGTATTTTCAAGTTATTTTTTTTTTTTTTCTTGCTGAAAATATATCTTTTGATTACAGAGAGAACAATAAAAGTCACTACTCAACGCCAAAATCTCGAGCTGCTCAAGATGATCCTGATTATGACACTTTAGATGTACTCAATGGTAAAATTTTATAGATAGATATATTTTGCGTATGATTTGCATACATCTTACAAAAAGAGATGCAAGCTACTTTGATCTCATTCAATACTCCGTTATTGAAAGTTTGAGAACGATTTAGGTCAAATTCTAATTCAACTGATTTATATTTGACTATGTTATGTGCAGTAAACGGCCGGTTCCACTGATCTCACAGGGAAAAAGATGGAACATATTTGTATTACAATCGTTAAGTATAACCTTTGCATTTACACTCATAATTTAGAAAGTATTTTATACAACCCAAAATCTGCAATTTGGTACAAATGAGGAATATTCAGTCCATGTATACCATTTATGCTTATTTTTGTCAACTGTATAAAGGAAAATACTGATTATTTGTGTATCGTCCATAATATTAATTTGTAAATTCACGTACAATGTTTCGAAAACGGTGCGTTTAAACATTTCCAAAAATGACGGATAATTTTTTCTATGAATGCCCCTGGGAAACGACAAAAATTTGAAGTTTCATTGTGAAACTTTTATTTTTTTTTGTTTTTTTTAAAAGTCGGGCTCCCCCCCGAGCTATGTTTGATTCGTTTTAAAAAATATGTTCCCGAAAAGTAGATATAAATTAACAATTAACTATCTTTAAAACAAAATTAAACATTATCATATTTCTTCTTTTTTTTTTAATAAATGATTATATTCTCTGGTCAATACAACGTAATAAAAGGCGCATGTATAAGAAAAAAGGGCGGGAAATTGAAAATTTAAAACAAAAAGATTTATATTAACGAACAAAAACAACTATTAAAAAGTCTGGAAAATGAACAATCGTTTAGTAGAAATGAAAATCACAATATTATTATATAAAAATTGGAGACTAGGTTTGATAAAATCTATTTATGAGAGATAATGTAAATGTGCAACATCTCCCAAAACCCATTAGCACCGGATTAAGCTGTATTATATTAACACTTACTTACTGGACTCGCTCCTGAAGGACCACACAACTATAATGTCATCGTAGAGTACATGGGAATCAAATCGTTTATAGTATATACAATACTGACAACAAAGTAAAATATGCTTTCTGCAAATTGCCTTGGGATCATATCCGTTGTAATTATCAGCGTGTCTACCCTACAACTAATACAACGTCTGAAGGTTCTCATGAAAAGTCAATGGAACATGTTCAATAACAGTCTCACAAATTACGGCGTCACAATGAGTTTAACTTCTTTGAGCAATAACTGCCAGAAACAACCAGAATATTTGTCTCCAAAAGATTTTTGCCTTGCATATTTCTACTATAGTTGCAGATTCTGCTCTGAAGGTTGTATATTGTCTATAATATATACAATATACACAGTCTCTTCAAGTCTGCATACTACACTTAAAAATGCTTTTATAATGAATGTATTGTTAATTAACATGTCAAAAAATTAGGCTGAGCGCAACCAATCTCTCCGAATCATTGCCACTATATTCTAAGTATAACTATTCAAATTTGAGTTATTTTACAATACAGTTTTATCTTATATAGTGTTGACACTTTTTCTATCTACTTGCAGATAACCAGGGCCAAAGAAGTACAGCGTATGAAAATGAAGTTGTATCTAGCATGTGATGCACTTGACTCGAAAAAGGATGATAATTATTTTGCACATGAAAGTTTAGATCGTAAAAATAATGATTTATAAACGAATGTTAGAGACAGCGTTCGATATAATGTACCACTGCTTATCATTTAAGTGTTATTACATCAAATAAACTGTTGATGAATTTCTCTAACATGAACCCTGATTTTTTTTAATTAATTCGAAACACGTCGTATTGTAATTATTTTTAATTACCAAATTGGTACAATATTTGGTACAAGAGGTTGAAGTTACACATTGTTGAACATTTACATTCATTAACAATATTGTTAGCGGTTATCTTATCAAATATGTCTCACCACGCGTGATATGTAACAAAATCAATTTAGAGTTTATTTTGTGTCTCTAAGATTTCGAATATATTTAGAAATATTTATCTGTTGTTTCTTGTTTAGTACAAGCTTTAAACTCAAGTGTTTCGACCGTCCCAGTTTGTTTCGGTGCTCCATTCTGTATGTCTTACACTTAATTGTGGTTTATGATATTTTTCCTTAATAGCTTTGTCGTAGAAGAAAGTGCCACTGTTCATTTAAAATACATCTGACATGCTCTATATAATTGAGAATGTGATGATTTTTGTGACACTTCAGTTTTAGCATTTAACAGCATTTAATCGTGTGATTATAATTATTTCTGTGGCATGTTTGTACAAAATTAATCATTTCTGTATTATACATGTAGCACTTTTCTTCTTTCATTCGAACAAAACTAACGTATGTTGGATGTACCGTAATTGTGTACTCTTTTCAAGTTTATTGTGTACGTATTTTGGCAAGTATAAATTTATAACAACTTTTGAAATGAGCAATGATGTAGACACTCTTCATATTAGAGTCAACATTGTTATATTACTCTGCAGTTATGTTGTTTAAGTACAATCGGTATATCATAAATTGAAAAACATACACGAATTTTAAGAATAAGAAAATAAAAAATATGAACTTACAACTGGCCTGATTGTTGTTATATTGAAGCCCTTGTGTGTAGTTGTTTTCCTATACATCAGTTGCAAAATACCATTACATGCCATTAGAAGTCTTGAAAATATGACAATATTAATCCATGAAAAAAAATAAAATTATAAGATATTTTCCACATACATTCGAAGTTTTTAGAAAAAATATGTCCTTACAAAGATATGATATACAGGTTGTGCCAAAACAGTGCAAGTGGGTTTGTGTCACCTAGCATTTATTTACTATTTATTATTTGGGGAAGTGAAGTTCTAT